CTATTCTGAGCACTCAGAAAATGCAAAAGCTGAAAGGCAAATTTCCTCTTTTTATTCCACATTGCAGAAACAAAGACCCAGTCTAAATCACTCGCCAACACAAGAATGTTGTGGCGAGACCACATCACAATGGGGACCATTGCTCCTGCATACCTCAGGGAGATACAGTTCTACAGTATCATAAGTAAGATTGTTTTATCCAAAACTAGAAGTCAGTTGTTAAAAATCACCTCCTCTTATATTGTAACATTACCTTAATCCTAAAAAGCCTAAGTACCTGCTATGGTAGGTAGCTACCCACAAGGTAGGTACGAGGGAAAGACTGTGCACTAACTAGGAGCCAGGACCAGAGGACAAGAGGAAATGGCCTCAAGTTGCACCAAGGGCAGTTGAGATTGGATGTGAGGAAGAATTTCTTTGCTGAAAGGGTTCTGAGGCATTGGAAGGGGTTGCCCAGGGCAGTGGTGGAGTCCCCATCCCTGGAGGGATTGAAGAGTCGAGTAGACATGGTGCTGAGGGACATGGGTTAGTCATAGGGGACTTGTCAGTGTGAGGTTAATGATGGGACTCGATGATCCTAAAGGTCTTTTCCAATCGAGACAACTCTGTGACTCTGTGACCAAAGTCTACTAAAATCAGAAAGGCTCCTACAGAGTTTGGTGGGTTTGGATCAGACCCTAAAGCAGTACTCAGTTTCAATGGGGGCAAAACAACAGAATAAACCAACCCTGACTTCAGACCACTCGGAACTGTTTTTAAACTTGAGTAACCAAGACATGATCCCTCCCCAAGCAAAAATAAAAGTATTTCAGGAGACAGCACTAAGTGGTTTTTTTTCACTGGCTACCTTCCTTCTTGTTCAGTTGTTCATTATCAGAAAATATCTGCAGTTGTACTCAGGTTTTTTTTCTGCAAACCTCACAGCTTTTAGAGCCCTGAAGATGAATAAAGCCTGGCAGGAAGAGTAGGAAGGCAGTGGTAAATAGCAATTTTGTGCTGAGAATACAGCGGGTGGTAAGACACCAGAGAAAATGAAGATTAGTGAAGAACAAGAATCAAAAACTTCTTTCCTTTTAAAGACTGTATGGTTATACAGTGGTATTGGATCTATAAATACACATATGTTCTCCCAAATTCTCATTTGGAAAGGTAGATCTCTACAGCCACATATATTTCTAATCAATTCACGTGCAGAACAGCAGCTTTATTGCATCACAAGCTTATCCTTTCTGCAATAATGTCAAGGCACATAAATGATGCATGAAATCCCTTTGCTGAGTAAACATAAAGATCCCATCTGAAACTGAGCCTCAACGGCGTGTTAATAAAGATATGCTAATACTGCACAAGGTAACTTAAGGGTGACAAAGCCCAGGCCGGGTGAAGCC